AGAGAGAGAGAGAGAGAGAGAGAGAGAGAGAGAGAGAGAGAGAGAGAGAGAGAGAGAGAGAGATTTAACTCCGCTTGATACAATTTTCATGGAGCAAGGAGGGAATGGTCCCCTCCCCTCCCCTAATTTCATATAAGACCTTCCGTACTCACTTGTAGTGGCACCACAAATATCTACATGGCAAGGAGGACTGTCCAGCACATTCGACGTACGGAAATGCAGACTGGAATAGAACAGTCTGCTCTCACCCTTGATCCTCATTTCGAGAAAAAAAACTAGTTTCCAGAAAGCTGCAGTCAACCCTTTATCCTCTTACTGACAATCTGAATGGTCAGTAAAAGCACTCTTTATCCTTGTTTTCTGGAAGCTGCAATACCCCGTAGCGGCATTGCAACAACATGCAAATTCAGGGACAACAGAAAACATCAATTCAGAGAGTAAAACGTTCCCCTGTCCTCAAGCATGCATGCATTGACCGACATACCTTTCTGCACTGATTAGCTTTATTCAAAGCATTTGCGTAGGTTAGCAAGTGAGTGAGAGATTAGCGTCAGTCTCCAGCTGACCGCTACCCAGAGTAAAGTTTCTGGAGGTTAGCAAGGAGCCAAAGCAGCAGAATGACTTATGCAATGATGCTGCACTGGTGCTTCATTCAAGTTCATTTGGAAGAACGCCAACGATTCTAATGTGAAACCGTAAAATAATGCTAGAAGCAGGTCGTCAAGCTAGCATGTAGCCTACTAGCCATCTTAACAAGCCCTCAAAGTTCGCATACGGATTTGGTAGTCTAAGAACTCTGCAGGGAAAATTATCCCTGTTTCCCATGGGCCGTGTTGAAATATGGTGCAAGGGAACCACACTGTCCTCCTCCGCTAACGGAATTACCCATGAGAAGTGGCTGATGAACACCACATTATGATGGTCTCCCTAGAAAAGAGGACTAAAAACACAGGGACAGAAAAAACAAGTCGAAAGGGAAAACGACGTTCGCTGCATCAGATAATTCGTTTTTTGTTTTTGTTTTTTTTTGGGGGGGACGGGGTGAGAATGCTCCACTCTATTTGTGGAGAGCAACCGTTAGCTCACCCATCTTGGGCTTTGTTGGATTATTGGAATGTATATATTGTGCAACTTTACCCACACCTTCACTGGAAGTTTTCAACCACCAGTGTGCATGGACCTTACCCACCTTGATACGATGCTCTTCATCTCTGCTTTATTTTCTCAATCAGCAGTCTTTCCATCTTCTTTGGCAGTTTCTCACTCTTTGTTCGCTTTGCTTTAGCTCTTTTCTGTGCCCCCCCCCGGAAAACTTCCCCACCACCTTTTCTTCGTACCCTCCCTCATTCCACTTCGTGCTCGGCTACTTTAGCCGCTCTTTCTCTCCTGCTCTGCTACTTCATCTCTTCGCCATTCTCTAGTCTTTTCATCACTCTCCACCAGTTCTCACTTCTGCCCCCAGCTCTGTCATCGTCAATATTTCTGCACTCGTACATTTCGGTCGTAAGATTAGCGTTCAGCCTCCTTCTGGAGTATTTTTATGATTCTCCTCTCTATCACCAGTTCTCTCTTCTGCCCCCAGCACTGCCATTGTCAATATTTCTACACTCATACATTTCGGTCATAAGATTAGCGTTCAGCCTCCACCTTGCTAACTTGTAACTGATCATCGCCTGCCTCCTTGTCTCCTCCTCTGGCACCTGCTCCTCTGTCCCATCTAAGCACATCCGTAATGCTACCCGTCTTGATTTCTCTATCAAGAGACATCCCAGACATGTTTGGACCACTACGATTCGCCATGCCTTTACTCGAGAAGCGCAATCAAGAGCCCAATCCTCGACGACACCCAGTCCTCCACTAGTGCGGCGCAAACGCAGTCAAGGGGACTCGCACCAGAAACCATGACGCATGCTTACTAACAGCAGCTCATGCATCAAGCCTCAAATGATCAAAGTGCCAGCTCACTGTCAGCTGAACCTACCTTGGCATCGCACAAACGAAACCACTAGGAACCTTTCCGTCTCTGCTCCACGCTTGGAAGTTAGTAATGATGAAACACATACGAATATTCCCATCTTGGTACACTGGTGAAATGCATATGAATGTTCCTGTCTACGATCAACATCTGTGGAGTTTCCATCTATGCTTTACATTGGGGAAGTCACCAGTGGCACCAAACGTGGGCCAATCAAACAGACGAAAGAACCAAAATAAAAACGGGGGTGAAAGTGAAGGACACAATAAAGGAAAGGAGAAATGTGTGCAACATCCAGGAAAAGAAAGCATGAAAGAACAAGGGAGTAGCTGAGTAGGCAATGCAACAACAGGAAAGACAAGAGACAAAGTAGGAAAACAGACAGAGAAGAGTAATAAGATCAACATCAAAGGAAAGAGACTGGAGAACAGGACAAGAGAGGATGCACGTGGATATAAGGGAAGACAACGAAAACCAGACGATATACGAAAAGAAAAAGGAGTGAAGGAAACAGCAGAGAAGTTCCATTGACATTAGGTTCAGACCAGCTGCCAGAAATTGGAGGAAGGGATAGACAAGGAAAAAGCCATGAGCTTTCTTCATAGGTAATATACATACACTGCATTTGGACGCAAGGGACCGACAACACATTGACGAGCAAGAACATGCAACAAGGCATAAAACGCCTAAGTCCAAAGGGTCACAACCTTCAATAGGACTAGACAGACTGAGACCTCTACGAGAGCAGAACTAGCCATTAATATAGGGGATTAATAGCACATCAGCAGTGTATGGTTAATTCACCACTGCAGCCGTTAATAACGGGTTGATGGTAGAATCGGATAAATCGCCATAGACATAAGGAACACAATACCACCACACAATCCACACTGCAGGAGACTAGGACAGAGATAGATGCCATCATATTTAGAACGATTTCCGTACGCACCGATCACTACTGCTGAATTGGCGCTTCCCGATCCCAAGGCCTTCCCCCCGTGCGCTCCAGTCCCCTTTGCCACGCGGCATTTACTGACGGACGATCAATTCCAACTCCCATGACGCGCAAGGATAATGCTATACTCTGGGCAGAAACTCATTATGCCTGTTTGTCCATTTTGCTTTCATCTCATCAGAGCACCACAACTTTCACTTCGATTTCATCAGCAAAAGAGCATTCAAGGCATAATGAGATCATGCACACAAAGCAGCTTCGTCATCGAGGATATGGTCGATGCCCACTCAAAATACGGTTGACGTCCACTCAAAAGAAAGACCAAAACAAAACTTATAAATGGGACAAACATGACTTGAGAAGCGCAATAAGACCTGGCGACATATTGGCACTTTTGTCTTGGCAAAACGACCACGTATCTACCCACCAAAGAGAAACAGAAAACTGCATCATTGTGAACAGCACACGAAGACACAAGGAGAGCTTGAACGAGTCCGATGACAGTGGTAAGCGGAAACCTAACCTAAAGAGTGCATTGATAAGAAATCCAAATGACACTAAAAGAAACCCATACCATAAGATCACAACACAATGTATGAGACACTCAGCTGATAAGCCAAACAAATGCAACTAGAATGA